ATTCTATACTATTCGTAAAGATCATTTACTTGATTCTGATGTTTGTCAAAAATATCATTATAGTATTGGTTTTTATTATTTGGACGGAGCATTTTGTAAGTAGATAATCAATCAAAATKTATAAAAAAAAATTATTATTGTTAGACATTTGATCAAAATGTTATATTGTGTTAAGCATGTGAATGTGATCCGACGGGCTCAACCAGTGCCATTTGTGATTCATTGGGTGGAAAATGTACTTGCAAAACAAATGTAGATGGAAGGAAATGTAATCGTTGTGCTCCTGGTACTTATGGATTCGGCCCAGAAGGGTGCAAAGGTATTTATTTTTTTAAGCAATAAAAAATATTAATAAATAAAATTGAAATTCGTGTTTAATATTTAATTTGAATGTTGTTGTTAAAATTAAATCGCAGGTTAAATCTGTGTAAAAAATTCAACCAATAGCTTATAATATAGTTTCTATATTTATATTTTATTTGTGCTAAATTATAGTTAATTATGTTATTTGTTTACATTATACAGCATGTGACTGTAATAGTGTTGGAGCTCTGGATAATTTGTGTGATGTTTCAACTGGACAATGTAAGTGTCGAACACAGACTTATGGAAGGGAATGTGATCAATGTGAACCAGGCTCATGGAATTATCCAAATTGTCAGAGGTGCATGTGTCATGGACACACAGACGAATGTGACTCTCGAACTGGAATATGTCTTAATTGTCAAGGTTTTACTGAAGGAACTAATTGTGATAGGTGTGTGCTATATATAATTTGTTTTAATTATTTGCTTACCATATTATTATTTTAAAATGTTTAGGTGTATTGAGGGTTATTATGGTGACCCACGTTTGGGAATAGACATTCCATGTCGACCATGTCCATGTCCAGGAACAGCCGAATCTGGGCATTCCTATGCTCATCGATGTGCTTTAGATTCAAAAACACAAGATGTCTTCTGTGAATGTCAAACTGGGTATAAAGGTAAATTTCGGCTCTCGATGTATTTTAATTTGTTGTTTGACAATTTATTGTTTTTTCATAGGTTCCAGGTGTAATATGTGTGACGAAAATTACTATGGAAATCCTGAAGTTCCTGGGGGCCAATGCCGGCCGTGTGTTTGTAATAATAACGTGGACATAACCAAGACAGGAAACTGTGATCCTCACAGTGGAAAATGTATGCAATGCTTATTCAACACTGAAGGAGACAATTGTGAAGTGTGTAGAACGGGTTTTTATGGCGATGCCATCCATCAGACGTGCACAGGTACAGTTAATATAACTATCTATGTTGATTAATAATAYTGGAAAACAAAAAGGATTTATAATAATGTCAAAATGTGATTTTTTTTAAATTTAATTTGTAGAATGCGTGTGTGACTTTTTGGGATCACAGTCTAAAGTGTGTAATTCTACCACCGGACAATGCCCTTGTTTACCTAATGTTATTGGGTTGTCTTGTGATGAGTGTAAACCGAATCATTGGAAAATTGCTAGTGGAAATGGATGTGAACCATGTAATTGTGACCCAGTCGGATCTGTTTCTGAACAATGTAACCAGGTATGCTAAAATACATAAAATTGTGCCTACATTTTTATTTTGTAAACATAATTATATTTTAGTTCGACGGACAATGTAAATGTAAACCAGGTTTCGGTGGAACTCAGTGTAACCAATGTCAAACAAATTATTGGGGTGATCCAAATAAAGAATGCTATGGTGAGTAGTTTTATACAGTGGCAAAATAAACCTAAAATAATCCATAAGAAACCTAGAATTGACCTACCACCCACTTACCCATCCTCTTACCAACAATTTATATTAAACACAAGTACTATTAGYATTACTATTACTATTTGGTCTACTATAATTATTATTTATTAATAGTTTTTCACTTTCATATTGAACACCTACCCACCCCTAAATATTATAAAAATCAAGAAGCAACTACTGCTTCTTAAAGACTATACAGTGGAATCCGCTTATTGTGGGCACCGGTTAATATGGGCATCCGCTTATTGTGGGCAAACAGGTCTGGTCCCGATACAAATGTATATTAACAATGTTAAATCTAACCGCGTAATATGGGCACTCGATTCGGTTTATGTGAGCAATTTTATTTTATCATAGCGTTAGAATATACACTTAATATGTATCTAAAAACGACAAATTTAATCGGATTTCGTCATATCTACGAGATTGTGTATTGTAATGTAAAGCCGAAGAATTATCCCGGAAAATTGGTAACAATCAGTTTATTGCTACTGATGGTTGGTTAAGCAGGTGAAAGAATAGTAACGAGATAAAATTCAAACGTGTGCATGGTGAAAAAGCAAGTGCTGATGAATCTGTCTCTAATGATTGGAAAGTTGACAGGTTAAAAATAATTTTGAACGACTTTTCCCCAGATAACATATTTAATGCAGATGACACTGGACTGTATTATCGAGCGACACCCGACGGTTCTTTATGTTTCAAAAAAGACGTTCTGTCTGATTCAAAWAAAGCAATGGACAGGATTACAGTTTTATTATGTGTCGATATGACCGGGAGTGATAAAAGATATATAAGTTATATGATAATAAAAATAAAAACTTTTTTGTATAATATTTTTTTTTTTTT